AGGGGCTCACCTGGAAGGCGTGGCTGGCGAAGCCCAGCCCCAGCTGCCTGCACACCACCATGGCCTCCACGGTGCCCCAGTTGTCGCTGCAGACCGTGCCCCACCTCAGGGTGCCGTTGCGCTCGGCCAGGACCTCCACCCTGCCCTCGTAGGGGTTGCGGCCTCCGCTCAGGCGCAGCTGCAGGGCACAGACACACAGACACCCCCCCGGGGTGGTGAGGGCACAGCACAACCCCCCAGGGGACGTGGGGCAGCACCCGGGGGCTCCCCGGGGCTGGGGGTCCCTGAGCTCGCACGGCTCGGTTTGGGTATTGAAGTCATTGGGGTCACCTCCCACCCAGGGCAGGGGATGGTCCAGCTGAGCCCTGCAGCTCAAAGGGGGCTGGAGCAGCTGCAGGAATAACACACTCCCTGGGACAGCTTCCCTTCCCTGCTCCTTTGGAGCTCTGGAAGGAGTGTTGGCTCAGGGGAACCTGGGGCGGGTTCGTGCAGAGTCGTGGAATGGTTGGGTTGGAAGGGACCTTAAAAATCTTCTATTCCAGCCCCTGCCATGGGCAGGGACACCTCCCACTAGAGCAGGCTGCTCCAAGCCCTGTCACAGAATCCCAGAATCAGCTGGGTTGGAAGGGACCTCTGAGATCATCCAGTCCAACCCTTGATCCAACCCCGCCGTGGTTCCCAGCCCATGGCACTGATGCCACATCCAGTCTCATTTAAAAACCTCCAGGGATGGAGAATCCACCAGTTCCCTGGGCAGCCCATTCCAATGCCCAATCACCCTTTCTGTAAAGAATTCCTTCCTAATATCCAGCCTAAACCTCCCCTGTCCTTCCATCATTTCTTTCTTCATTTATAAGAAAGGAAGCTCAAAGCTCAGCCTAAAAAAGGAGCATTGCCCTCATTTTCCCTCCTAAAACCCAGACGAAACCCTCGTGGCTGGGGTGAAATGAGTCCTTCCCAATGCTGTGCCCTGGCAGGTGAGGCCCCAGCGTGCAGACACCTGGCAAACATTCCCTGGCACCCGGATCAGCCGGCTCCTCACCTGGTTCTGGAAACCCATGGCGGGGACGTTGCACCTCACAGCAGCATCCTCCTCGTGGTTGCAGCCCTGGGACTCGGTGTTGAACTTGCAGTCCGTGACTGACTTCTCAAAGCCTGTGCAGTCGATCTCGTTCAGGTGGATTGGGCCCATCCCTTGGGGATAGGGGGGAGGAAGGAAGATAAAAAAGAGGTTTTTGCTTTCTGCCTGTGCTGCTGCGTGGGGAGGAAATGTTAATACCCTGCAGACACCTCAGCCTCCAGCGTTCCAAACGCCCTGGAAAAAAAAGCCACTGGTTTCGTGTGAAAACAAACCCAAAAGCTGCAATATCCTTATTAATATTTTCACTGGTAAATTCTTGCCAGTGTTCTCCGGGGCTCCGGCAGGCAAGAACCCCAGAAACAGCCAAGTTTCCACTGTTACATAATTTACAAACTTCAGCTGCAGGAATTCACAAATTATGACCTTTTGGCTGGGTCTGTGTGCTGGAATCTGCTCCCAGTCAAGCCCTGACATTTAACTGGGACGTGGACACGTTTGCTGGGACAACCAAGCAGAAAACCACAGGGAGGGAGGGATGAGGAGTCAGTAAAATAAATCTGGGGCAGGTGGTGTGGGCTCCAACACAGCAGTGAAATACAATCATCCCATACTGCAGAGAGGTGCTGGGAGACAAATGGGAATAATCTGGGAGGACAAGTGGCATCCAAGATGAGGCTGGTCCTTCCAACCAGCATCAGAACACCCTGGGATCATAGAATCACAGAATCCCAGAATCAGCTGGGCTGGAAGGGACCTCTGAGATCATCCAGTCCAACCCTTGATCCAACCCCACCGTGGTTCCCAGCCCATGGCACTGATGCCACATCCAGTCTCTGCTTAAAAACCTCCAGGGATGGAGAATCCACCCCTTCCCTGGGCAGCCCATTCCAATGGCTGAGCACCCTCTCTGCAAAGAAATTCTTCCTGATCTCCAACCTAACCCTCCCCTGGCACAGCTGCAGACCCAGCCCTCTTGTCTTGCTGATGGTTGCCTGGGAAAAGAGACCAACCCCCCCTGGCTCCCCCCTCCTGGCAGGGAGTTGCAGAGAGTGAGGAGGTCTCCCCTGAGCCTCCTCTTCTCCAGGCTGAGCCCCCCCAGCTCCCTCAGCCTCTCCTCACAGCACTTGTGCTCCAGTCCCTTCCCCAACCTCGTTGCTCTTCTCTGGCCCTGCTCCAGCCCCTCCATGTCCTTCCTGAGCTGAGGGCCCAGAACTGGACACAGCACTCCAGGGGTGGCCTCACCAGTGCTGAGTCCAGGGGCAGAATCACTTCCCTGGCCCTGTTGGCCACCCTGTTCCTGAGCCAGGCCAGGATCCATTGGCCTTCTTGGCCACCTGGGCACACTCTGGCTCATGTTCAGCTTCCTGTCAATCCAAACTCTCAGCTCCCTTCCTACCTGGCTGCTCTCCAGCCCCTCTGTCCCCAGCCTGTGGGGCTGCAGCTGGAACAACCCAAAGTGTAACCACGGACACGGAGTTAACTGGGAGAGTCTCCCCTCTGCAGCTGGAGGGGAGTTTGGGCCAGCAGAGCTCCTTTTCCTCCCACAAGGGGATGATCCCGCTGCTGGGGGGGAGCTCAGCCATCCCAAAGGACACTTCTGACAGGGAGCACTGATGGATGGTCGGGGCTGAGCAGGAGAAGAAAGGGAAGCCTGTGGGAATCGGCCGCCGCCGAGAGTTTCCAGGCTGCGGGAGACAGCAGGGAACGGAGCGTTCCATGTTCTCCTCCCTCACGTGGCAGCCTCTCCTCCCCTCCCCACAACGATGATGAAGCTGTTTCCTACATGCAGTTAAACACACCAGCAGATTCCATCCCACCACAAGAGGGTTTTGGCAAATCCAGCGGACGGGTCACGTTTTAAAGCTTTCCAGACTCGGGACACCACGTGTTGTTTCCTTCCCTCCCTCCCCTTCTCCGAGTCTCCAAAGAAGATTCACCCTTTCCTTTGTTCTCACAGGAAGGGTTTGGTGTCATTTGCTTTCCCATTCTCACCACAGGAGCAAGGTGTGGGAATCCCCAGGTGGCTTCAGAGGGTTTAAGTTCTCCTTTGAGTTACCATTTCCCACATTTTGGGATTTAAACCAGCTCCCAGACACAGGAAATCCAACCCCAACCCTGGCTCTGAGCTGTTCAAATGCCCTTCTATTTATAATGGGCTTATAAATTACTTTATAAATTACTGTTCTGGTTTAAATTGGAGCATCTGAAGTCTGGATCCAGGACTCATCTTTGCCAGGAACCTTCTAGTAATGCATTCCACCATGATGTGGTTCTAGAGGACTCAAAGGGAGCTTTAGAGCAACGGATGTGATAATGAAGAATTAATTACTGCAACAGCTGTCTGAGCAAAAGGTTAAGCTCATCATCCCCAAACTCCTTTCAAGGAATCTCGAACATCTTTTTTAAGTCACATATTCCAGCCTGGCCTCCAGACTCGTTAAGGTCAGAGGAGACATTTCTGGTCCCTGTAGCAAATATTCCAGTGAAAACACGCTCTGTCCCGTATCCCCAAGGGCTCTTGGAGCTGGACAAGGCCCCAGCAGCCCCTGGGGGTCTTACCTTGGCCCAGCCTTGCTCCTGTGATGGCCTCCTTGGCGCTGCCAAAGCCCAGCTCCCGGCACACCACGCTGGCCGACACCAGGTTCCAGTTGTCGTCACAAACCGTCCCCCACTCCCCGTTTTTCAGCACTTCCACTCGTCCCTCGCCCGTGTTGGCTCCTCCTTTCAGCCTCACCAGTGGTTGCTGCAAGACACGAAGGTGGGAGAGGAGTTAATTCCTACTCCCACTGCCTAATTCCACGTCCTGCCCTCTGCAGCTCCTGTCTGCAGGAAAGCTGGGCCCCCCAAAACTGTTAGAGAATCACAGAACTAAACCCCCTACCACACAGTCCCAGTGGCCAAAAGCTCTGGATGGAAGGAGATCTTTACCTGCAAACACTCATGGGATGCACAGAGATGTTTCTCACGCCCCTACATGTGGGCAGGGAATTGAAAAAAAAAAAAGATATTTTAGTTCTCTGCAGGTTTAGTGCTTGGATTTAGGAGCCTTTTTCTGCTGGTGCACACAGGCTGGACATGGAAAAACCCAATTCTCATGTTCCTTGGGAGTCATGTCCCTTGGAGAATGGCCCCAAGCCTGTTGGTGCCCAACTCTCATCCCCTGGCTGCCACTAACAGGGTTTATTTGCTGTTCAGACCTCCAGGATCAACGTGGAGCTCAAGCCACCTCAAACCCACCTGTGTGCTGAGTTCTGAGCAGTGGAATCCGTGATCCTGCAGATCCCAGTCAGAGATGCACAGCTCCACTTTCACTCACTCCTGGTTTTATATGATTATGTCATTATCTCTTTCCACTTTTCTATTATTATCTTATTATCCATCAATCAGCCACAGCTTTGCCCAGTGCCAGGCACAGACCTGCCACTTGCTGCTGCACCTGAGAGGTGGGTTGTGCTGGTGGCAGCAGAGTCAAAGCTTTGGGAACACCGAGAATCCTTAACTTTTCCAACTGGCAGCAGGCTGGGGTCACACAAAGGACATGCAAAGCCCAAACAAAGGCTTAAGGAATTACTTGGCAGCGTGTGTGGCTCAGAAGATTAGTCATGATTTACAAGACCTTTCACCTTTCAGGCCTAAATCCCTCAAGCTCTCGTGCAGGGAAGAGCCCGGGATCCAGGCAGGGATTGCACTATTCCCACCACAGCAGTTTTGGGAGGTGTTGACACCTGAGAAGAGGCCAGAGATCCTCCTAAATCCACACAGATCCAGGGCTGGGCGATGCAGCTCCAACCCCACCCAGAGCACCCCTGGAAAAACCCCTCTAACCCAGCATTTGGGGCCTCCAGATCCCAAAATCGTCCCCGTGTCCTAAGGCTGCAGCTGGAAAATTTCCCTTGGCATCCACTAAACCATGTTTGCTGCACGTTAAGCTCTTCTTTCCTATTCAGTCACCCCCCTGACCCTGAGCACAACCAGCTCCAGGGTTGTTTTACAGGGCTTTTTGCATATCCCAGGGTTTTTACAGCCCTTTCCTCACCAGACTAAACAAACACAGCTCCCCAACCTTCCTGCAGGCCGTGTTTTCCCAGTCTCCCAGGGCATTTCCGTGCCGAGGAATGCAGAGGCAGAGGAAATGCCAACTGATTTCCCTCGTCCCTCCACAGGGAAAACCAATCCAGCAGGATTCCAGTGGCTGTGGAACAGCAAAGCCCGGCAGCGACCGGGCACCAGCTCAGCTGGCTCGGACAGAGCAGCTCCGACAGGAACGTGACCCGGGGATTTTCCCTCTCCTTGCTCCCAGCTTTGCCAGCTCCCATCCTCCAGGAGGCAAGGAAGCAGGAATTTCTTGGGGTAGGGGTTGGCTGGGCGTGCAGGGAGACGGGAATACTCGGAGGGGATGTTGGCACGAGGTGTTGGGGTCCTGCAGCTGAGAGCTCATGGTGGATTTACACCCCCAGGGTTTTCCTGTTCAAACTCACAGAAGGTTAGATGGGATTTTAGGGAGAAATTCCTCCCTGGGAGGGTGGGGAGGCCCTGGAATGGATTTCCCAGAGAAGCTGTGGCTGCCCCATCCCTGGAAGTGTCCAAGGCCAGGTTGGAGCAGCCTGGGCTAGTGGGAGGTGTCCCTACCCATGGCAGGGGGTGGCACTGGATGAGCTTTAAGGTCCTTTCCAACCCAAACCACTCCAGGATTCCATGACTCTTCCCCAGCTTTATATTCCTGAGCAGGGTCTGGAATGTCCCTTGGGTTAGTTGGGATCAGCTGTCCCAGCTCTGTCCCCTCCCAGCTTCTTGTGTCCTTCCAAAGTCTTTCAAAGCAGGAAAGGCCTCGAGGTTGTGCAGCCCTGCCCAGCAACACCAAAAACTTCTCTCGGTGTTAACAGCACAGATTCAAAACCCCGTGAGCAAAATTAACTCTATCCCAGCCAAACCAACACACTGGAAAATTCAGCTGAGGGAAAAAACCAAGATACACAAGGCAGAAATTAAAATGCATATTGCCTGGAGAATGTATCCGTGTGCTTTGAGAAATTCGGGGGGAAGATTCAGCGTGCCCTCAGGCAATGTTTAATTTGCTTTTGTGGCTGTGTGAGGAGATGGAACAGCAGCAGCTTCCTGGAGTCTCACCACAGGGATATTCAACCTGGGATGGGACTCTCCAAAGTGAAGCAAAAAGCTGGATTTTATCCATCATTTCAGCCCTCAGACCGAGCCAGAGGTTTGGGCTCCAGTTTCTCGGAGCGCCCAAGCTCGGAGCAAACCGGGTGGGATTAGACGACCTTCGAGGTGCCCTCCAAGCCAAACCACACTGGGATTCGGGGGGCCAGGTGGGGTTTTCCCCCTGCTCACCTCCTGCCTGAAGGCTTTTCGGAAGCCGCTGTGGCTGCTGGGGGCGAAGGCCCGGCCGGGGACGCAGCTGACGACGGCGGGCAGCCCGTTCTCGCACGTCGCGTTCTTCCCCGCGCCCACGGCCAGGTGGCTGCCCAGTTTGCAGCTGGAGATGTGAGCCTCGCTCCCGCTGCAGTCCATGGAGTAAGCCCAGTAGTGCTGCTTCCTCCTGCTGGCAAACATCCTGAGAGGGGTGAAAGAGGAGAAAAGGGAAAGTCGGGGATCCGGGGAAAAACTGCGCTGGTGGGGTGGTGGGTTGGGGAGGGGGGGGTGACTTGGAATGAAATTGGGATGGAAAAGGGTTGTTTGGAGGCTGAAATAAAGTTGGAGTGGAACAGGATTGTTTGAAGGCTGAAATAAAACTGAGATTGAACAGGAATTGTTTGGAGGTTGAAATAAAACTGAGATTGAACAGGAATTGTTTGGAGGCTGAAATAAAGCTCGGACAGAACAGGATTGCTTGGAGGCTGAAATAAAACTGGGGTGGAACAGGATTTGTTTGGAGGCTGAAATAAAATTGGGATGGAATAGGATTGTTTGGAGGTTGCAATAAAACAGGAATGGAACAGGATTCCTTGGAGGTTGAAATAAAGCTGGTATGGAATAGAATTGTTTGGAGGCCACAATAAAATGGGGGTGGAACAGGAATTGCTTGGAGGCTGAAATAAAACTGGGATGGAACAGGATTGTTTGGAGGCCACAATAAAACAGGGGTGGAACAGGAATTGTTTGGAGGCTGAAATAAAACTGGGATGGAAGAGGATTTTTTGGAGGCTGAAATAAAGCTGAGATGGAACAGGATTGCTTGGAGGTTGATCCATTAATACACATTCTCTTTGTTAAGGTGTCACTTAGAATCATGGAATCATTAAGGCTGGAAAAGACCTCCCAGATCATCAAGTCCAACCACCTGGGAGTAAAGAGGTCACCTGCAAAAGCTAAAAATCAGAATATGATTCAAAAGTGCAGCTCCAAGGAGCAGAAAATCCCCTGCATCACACAGGGCTCAGCTCATTCAAACTGAGTGAACAAACTGGGGGGTGAGTTTGGCCTGGAGAGCCCCAAAAATCCTCTCCCTTTGCTGCTTTCAGCTGGGAGGTGGCAGATTGGGGAAAAAAAACCCCTCCAGCTCTGCAGCTCCTCTCAAACCTCGGTGTGAACAACCCGGCCCTGGAAGCAATTTCTGAGAGCAGGAGCAGTTCCCTTGCTGACATGTTCACAGCAGAGGAGCTTGGCAGCAGCTCCTGCTCCTCACTCCCAAGCTGCCTGGAGCTGCTCCAGGTGCTCCTGAGGAGGAAGGGGGCACGTGGGATAAACTGGGAAGGGAAGGAATCCAGCTTCTGGAAGGGAAGGAATCCACCTCCGGAGCTGAGAGTCGAGGAAACACAAAATATGGGTCAGATCAGCATCAAAAGTGAGATGGGAAAAGTTAAAAACACAGGCACAGAGGAGTCAACGCCCTGCTGGGATCCTGACGTGGCTTTGTGTGATCCCTGTGCTGCCCTGGGTTCCAGGACTCCCTGGGATCCAAGGATGGGCTGTGGGATCCAAATGGCACATGGGGATGGAGCAGGAATTGTTTGGAGGCTGAAATAAAACTGGGATGGAACAGGAATTGTTTGGAGGCTGAAATAAACTGGGGTGGAACAGGAATTGTTTGGAGGCTAAAATAAAATTGGGGATGGAACAGGAATTGTTTGGAGGCTGAAATAAAACTGGGATGGAACAGGAATTGTTTGGAGGCTGAAATAAAGCTGGGACTGAATAGGAGGCTGAAATAAAGCTGGGTGGGACTTCTGGGAGGAAAAGCACCAATTCTGGGCAATTCTGCAGCAGATCCCTGCAGGACTGGGAGCCTGGAGAGCAGCTGGGAAGGGCCAAAGAGCCTTTCTGAGGGGTTGGTTTGGAATTCAAGTGGCCAGGTCGAGGTTTGCCCCCCAGCACAGGGACTGATCTGCAGGGTCACGGAGATTGGAGGGACTCTCCTCTCCCCTCCTGCTCACTGAGCTCTGCTGACCAGCTCAGCAGTTCTCTGGGCTCACAGCCACTGACTAATCCCTTCTGGAGCCAAATTTCCCTGGGCTGAGGTTGGGGATGGATCCAGCCAGGCTGGAGATAGAGATGCAGTGGCAACACATGATGTGGGGCTGGAAGGGATGGAGCAGGGCTGAGATCCTGCCTGGCCCGGGGGCAAAACTGGCTGTCAACACAGAGCAGAAGCTGTCAGGGACCCTGAACGGAGGCAAAAAGGATGGGAAATGGGAAGAGAGAATTAAAATCCAAAAAATAAACCCACGAGACCAGGGAGACACGAAGCACCAGCCACTTCTCAGCTGGAAGTGAGAACCTGAAGGAGTATTTTCACCCTCCAGACAGGCCCAGGGAGCTCCACGAGCTCCAAAGCAGACAAGAAACAGCCTGTCTTGGGGAAATAACGATGGGGATGCCTTAGAATAGCAAACAATGACCTCATCCTGGAAATTTCATGAGGCATCAACATCTGGTTGGTATTAACAGCCCTTGGTAGGCTGGGGAGAAATAAAACCCCACCTCAGTTCCCCAGGCTGAATATATATATATATACATATATATAAAGCAGAATACAGATGATCTTTACAGGCAGAAACTCAGGGTATGGTTGCCTTTTAGTTTTTAACACAGGAAGGGTGCAAACAGGTCCCACCCTGACCTTGGTGGGAGCCAAGAGCAAGGTCAGAGGTGGGAGTGGGAGTCTGGCTGGGAGAGTTCAGCCAATTCCAGGTCAAGTCAGAGTTCAAACCATTCCTACTGGTGAGGAGAGATGGGCTTTCATCACCCAAAAGCTTTAAGCAAAGCACAGGTGAAGCCCAAGGGCTGTGGGAAGTGGTTAAAGAAGCCTGGTTGGGTAAGAGAGGGCAGGATAGGTTGGATGTTAGGGAAAGATCCTTTATCCAGAGGGTGTTCAGGCACTGGAATAGGTTCCCAAGGGAATTGGTCAGAGCCTCAAAGCTTCCAGAGCTCCAGGAGTGTTTGGACAACGCTCTGAGGGACAGAGTGGGATTTTGGGGTGTCTGTGCAGGGCCAGGGCTTGGACTGGATGGGGACTTGGGGAGCAGAAAATAAGTCCTCACACACACCCAGAGGGCAGGAAAAGTCACCCAGACCCCACAGAGCAGGGGCTGGGAACTCTCCCCAGGCTGGGAGCACAAAGTTTGTCCCCCCTGAGAAACCCTTCAAGCGTTTATGGAAGGGAAGGAGCTGCTGCCTTCGGTTTCTGGGAGGGCAGGAGGGAAGCCACACCTGCCAAAGCCCTTCAGATCCTGGGAGAACACAAACCACGAGGGTTTTTACTGCAAGAACTGAAGTGATGACCGGCCCTACATACCTGAGCAGGTTTGTAATGGGAGGAGCAGACTGGTTGAACTGGGAGGTGCTGTTTGGGCTGACACTGGACAGAGGATCCTGGAGCTGCTCAGCATTTCCAGCCATTTCTTTGACAAACCACAAAGCTTTAAAGCTTAAAAAGGCATCAGGTCCACCTTTCTGCCTCAGGCATCCCCCATCCCAAATTTCTCCTCTCTCCATCAGCAAAATCCATCAAATTCTGCTCTGCTTTCCCAGCCAGAGCAGGAACTGGGAGGAGGAGTGAACAGCAGCCCCTATATAAAACCACTTTGAAGAATGAACAAGAACAGGGAAACAACACTGAGCTGGGTTTCATTTCCTCCCATAAATCGTCCTGTCAGCTCCAGAGGCCGAGTTGCATTCGGGAATAAAACCCTGGCACTGGGACAACGATGAACTAAGTTGTTTTCTTTCAAGCAAGATCCATCTGCAAATCATTTCACCTCCCACCATTGTGCAGGAGCAGGGGATCTGCAAGCTCAGCAGGCAGGGCTGGACTTTGGGGGGATGTGGGAAGGGGCACTCCGAGCCTTGCCCAGCAGAAACCTGATCCCAGCCCTTCTTTTTGGGGAGGATCCACTCCTGGGGAGCAGGGGATTCACAGATCAGAGAGGGCAAAGCCTGAGGAACGAGGAGAACGTCTCTGAGGGGTCACAGGCTCGTGGAGAGGGGGTTCAGCTCCAGGGACCAGCCAGGATGAGCCTTTCCCTCTCCAAAACAACGGGGGCAAGCAGAGAGCAGAGCTCTCCTGGCCCAGGCTCATCATTCCAGCACCTTGACCATGAAGGAAAGGTCACCTGGGACATTCCCAGCCCAGAACTGGGAGCTTTCCCTCCCCTCTGAGGTGACCAGTGACACTGGTTGTACCCAGTGGGTCTGCCAGGAACACAACCCCCAAGGAAGAATCCAGCTTTTGCACTCTGCTAACAAACAAAACTGTCCAGCTGCCAACGTTTTACAAGCCCAATAAAATGCCCTCCCATCCTCCTTCCAGCCTGGGATAACACCCAACGTGCTTCCCAAAACATCTGGGGGTGCAGGAGCCCAGCAGGGCTGGGGGGAATTGGGGGGTCTCCAGCAACCTGGCTGAGCAGCAGAGATCTCCAAGCCTGGCATTTGGAAAGCACAGCACATTCCCAGCTCCAAGCAGTGGCATTTGGAAGCACAGCACATTCCCAGCTCCAAGCAGTGGCATTCCCAGCACTGCTGGGTTGGTGCTGGACAGCCCTGCCTCAGATTTTCCATCTCTCTGTGTGTGTGTAAGGGACAGGACAAGCACCAAGCACCCTTTTTTTTTAAGGCAGATGGCTCCAGCTGCTCAACTTAATGCTTTTCTTGGAAGCACCACAACTGGAAGCAGGAAAAACCTCCTCTGTCTTTCTCAGGGGTGATTTATCCCTCGCTCCTGCTCCACTGCAGGGGATGGGAATCTCAGGGATGAGTTTGAGGGAGTGATGGAAGCAAACACTCCCCAGACTGGTGTCTGAGCCTGGCCTGGTAGCAATTATTATTAATTCACTGCTCATCTCCCTGGGAATCCTGTGAACAAAATTCCACTTGGAGTCCTTATTTCAGATTCCTTCACACTATTCCAGCCTGAGGACCTTGTTGGTGGATTGGGATTTTGCTAATGAGAGAACTGAAACGTGGCCAGGCAGGTCCAGGGGAGGGAGCTTCCAGAAATAGCAATTCCAGAGGCCAAAAGGAGCCTAAAAAAGGCAGGAAAACCACAGCTCCTGCCTGGAGAATCCTGCTCTCCCCCTCACCCAGCTGATGCTTTCCCACCCCACAGGTCACAG